AAGATTCGGAAAAGATCCGTTCGCGACGGTTTACCCTGTTGCCAGATTCTGATTCCGCCCATTTCCCCCATCTCTTTATAGTTCGGAAGGAGTTTTGGCGCACGCTATCCCAATTTATTCTGTTCAGAACTATTGTGTGACACAAGGTGGCTTAGTAGAGGGTGTGCACACGGTGCGTGGAAAATCCGACAAGAAGAGTTCTACGTCTCTAAGCCACATCGACCGTTAGCGTGGTGGTGGAGACTTCTGTGGAAACCATTGCAAATTAAGAGAGACTTTATGATTTTGAATAAACTATCAAAGCCTTTCCTAGCGCAGGTCGCTGGTCAGGCTCAAAACAAATGCAATTTCCGAGAGCTTCAGAAAAAGCCTTTTTTATGTTTTCATATTTATGGTTTCAGTGCCTGGTTGATTTATTATGTCAACTCAAATAAACAACCAGAACTTGGCGAAAAAAAGGGGTTTTTCCCTAAAGGCAAGATTCGGGATTGAATTGGTGAGATAGTTACATGCAAATGTGAAAGCAAGGGTGGGAAGTGGAGAAAAAAGGGAAAAATCGAGAAATACAACAGGAAATGCCTTATTCCTCTACCGCTCGCGAAAAAGTCCAAACCCCGTATCAGTTTTGACCTCTGTTTCTTCTGAGTTCTTGGCGCTTATTTCCCTCTCACAGTTTTGCAACGTGCTCTCTTTAATCCACTCCTCTCTTTCGTTTTCCACGTTTCCGGCCAACAACGTTTTCGGCGCAAGAGTGTGCAAATTCTTCTTACAGCTGCCCACTCCTCTTCCAGATTATCCATTTCTCCTAGGAGATTGAATCGGTTTCGCAGTTCCAAAGCGAATCCAGAAGCGATTTCACGATCTTTCAATTTGTCCACAGTGAACGGCGAGCAGCAGAGTGCTTCTTAGCTTCTTCAGCTTAAGTTTGATTGCTGCTCTAACCATATAGTGATCCGATCCAATATCCGCACCTCGAAACGCACGAGCATCCTGAAGGGAAGTCCTTCCACTTGCGGCTGATGCAGATGTGGTCAATTTCATTTAACGTTTTTCCGTCCGGAGAGCGCCAGGTTTTCTTGTGATCTGTCTGTTGAAAGTAAGTGTTGCCAATACAAACGGTCATTGTGATCGCAAAACGAGACCAATCGTTCGCCGTTATTGATTAGGTTTCTTCAGAAGACGTGAGTGGTCCGATTGTACTCTCGAAGCCACATCGATCACCGCCTAGTTTTGCGTTGAAGTCTCCGAGAACAATTTTCATGTCTCTTCTTGGTGCACTGCTATCGACAGTTCTTGGAGCAGCTCATAGAAGTCGTTCTTCGCTTCGTCACTCGAATCCTCTCCGTAGGTGCGTATACTTGAATGACCGTGATAAGGGTTGTCACAAATCGCGCAGTGATTATTCGGTCCGATCACCGGATTCCAAACCCACAAGGGCTTCTGCTGCTCGCTTGCTCAAAACAAATCCAACACACTCCTCTCGTGTCGATCTTCATGACCAGAATGTAAGACAGTCTTGTTTCCAGACAGCTCATGCGCCCGCTCTTCTACGAACTTTACCAATGCACGGTGATAAATAATAATAATAGTGGCTAATAAAGTCTTCGGTTCTCAATTGCGATTTCCGTTCAACAAGCTCACGACGATGCGCGTTTTTCGCTTTGTGGCCGCGTGGAGCGAACGCCATTCAGAGCGCGACCGCCTCACCCAACACATGTGGATTCGAGTAGTAAAAGATAGAACATGGATGTCAAAAATAATTTTCAGCGGATGGTCCAGCAAATATGAATAGTGATAAGGTTATCGTAAAGTGGACCTTATCAGTTTGGTCGAATGGGTTAATTCGCAACGCATGTTGGTACTTTCTGTATGTGATCAAACAGGAGGAGAAGTTAAGTATTGCACCTATTGATATGAAGCCCAAATGAAAGAGTGGATAAGGGGCAACTTCACAAACAGTCAATTTTCATCTCAGCGATCTGGGCCTGCCCTTCTACCGCCACCCTCATCGACGGAGTTCCCTCCTCGCTGTTGCCACTGAAGATTTTTGCCGTTGTGCGTTGTACAGTCGTTTTTGTGTGTTTGCCTAATTGCGCGGATGACAGTCGATCCAGAAAGAAGGTGTCCCTCCGAAGTGGTACCGCATCATGAAATTATTGGAGGTTTTCAGCCAAATCGTACAGATCCCGACAGACGTGATCTGTACGAATACGAAATAACATCGGAGCAGCGGAATAAAGAGCGTTTTCGCTTTCAATGTTGCAGCACACTTCCAAAACACGTTTCTTGCCACTCGCAGAGTTTTGTATACCAGATTGGTCCCCCGGCAACCACCGGGACCTCCTTACCTGCGTAAGCTTTACTCCTTCCAATGTGCTCCCATCCACTGGTGACATGGACACCTCGTGGAGGTGGCACGCATGCACAAAAAAGTGTCTTATATAGTAGAAGGCATTACCGTAATCGTGACATGACCTTAGAATGATATTAATTGGACCTCAGGTCTTTTGGCGGTTAGCTCCCCTCGCCCTTCTCCATCTTATCCTATTCCCTCTACTGCTCTCCAGCTGCTATTGCAGCATCATGTGGAATGAATGAGACCATGCTCAGTAGGTGTTTATATAGCCGTTGGGGTGTTATCACATTGATAGCACTGCAAAACATTGATTGCTAAAGTCATAGTTACTCGATTTTGTTAACGGTCTGTTTACTTCACGAGTTTCCCTACCACTTCATTTTGCGGACGGACACACAGACATACATACATACATACATACATACACACGCACACACATACAGACATACAAACCGACACACAAAGTTAGCGCTTTATAAAATAGAAGGATATACTCTGGAATTTTCCAACCACATGTTCGTGGGAATACAAAGAAAAAGGCGAATCAACCGAACAAAAAATTTATTACGCGCCCCCCCTTGTTCCCCCCAAATGGGCAAGCTCTTCTAAATCCAAGCATATCTATTCCTACTGTAGACCACGATATTAAGAGCTATATATTATTCCATAATTATTCCAGTGTTTTTGAGAATACCTAACAATGGTATAATATTGTCAATAGTAACGATTATTTGCTCCGCGCGCATTATGGGCTGCCATTGAAGCATGAGCATGAGCACCGCGGTAGCCTTGCCCCCCAGTACGTAAGGGCTACCATCATCGTTCGACACTGAGACTCGGTAACGCGTCTCATTTTGTGCCTCTCGTTGGACGTTGAGACGCGGTTGCACGTCTCACCTTTGTCATCCCTTTTTCTGGCGTATCCGTGGATTCTTTCCAGCTTGCTTGTCTCCGTTCTATGGATTACAACGCAACATAACTGTAGACGACATGGCTCATAGTATGATCAAATATGCTCCAGTTTAGCAGAAAAAATTTCACGCACAGCGGAATTGGCAACTCAGTTTATTCCTCATTATCTTCCTATTTTCATGAACATGTCAGTGAGAAAAGGTAGTGAAAGGAAATAGAAACTCAGAGGATAGAAAAATGTGTGTTTCACTTGGCACATTCACATTGAAAATAGTTTTGGCATCCACTACAGAGAAAAGGACTGAAGGCTCCCTTTTCATTACCATTACACGTTCTTTTGATCGGGATTTTGCCACTACATCCTCGATTATCTTCTACGCATTGAATATTGCTGAAATGGTTTTGTACCAGTGATGCTTTCCGGAGATATCATTCCGAACACTTACGATTGCTGCGGCTCGGCCGCCGCGCTGCCGCGAGTCGCGTGTCCCACTAGGTCCAGAAAAAACCCAAAACGTGCGCTGTCGTCAATGTGTCAATGTGTTAAATAGGAGTGGTGTGGCGGAAAAGAGAGGCTGCTCCGCGCCTATGCTCTTGGTATCAAATCCCGTATTTCATCTTGCCTGTCCAATCAAATTCTACAGTTGATTGTCGAAGGATCAGGTTGCACCAAAGCACGTTAGTAATTTCTCTCAAAATCCTAACTATGATGATGTCAAAATCGACATCTGATCTTTCTTCGATCAGAATTCAGTAGAGTCCTACAAGGGAGGCATCGAGCAGCTACTAGTGTGTTGGCAATAGGTTGTAGATATTGATGGAGGGTAGCATGCCGGATGAATGGAACAAAAAGATAATGAAAATATTAAATTCAAAATTCGGCCAGTTTGTTGCAAGACTTATGGACCGACCTAAATATTTATTGCTCGACTAATTGAATTTGGATGCGGTTTATAGGAGTTCCGTCCAAAAAAGTTTTGCATATGTGACTTACATAAAGGTGGATCCCACGATGAGAACGAGGTCGAAGAAAGGGAAAATTGCCCTGTGGGGAGACAGGCGGACCTCCTGAGGGTGCGGACTGACACGCATTGGCAGAAAGATTTGACCTTGGCGATCTAGCATGGCTTCACTCTTGGCGCAGTTGGCGCGGTACGCCTACCGCTCATCTAAATCACTCGCCGCAGGTCTATACGTGTCGGGTGATTAGAGCAGAGAGAACGTAGTGTGGGAGAGGGCACAAAGATGGGAGCCGCAACAATGCGAAATCAACTGGCGAGGAAGGGGTCCCATTTCTCGGGTTCTGGGCCGTTCCTCTTGGTTTCTTCTCCTGTCTTTCTTGTTTCACTCATCCATAATCAATTTAATTTGAATGAACTGCTTTCACGGACTTTTGCTAAAGTATCCGCAACAGCATGAGTTTATGAGCTGCATTTCAGCAACAAATTTCATATTGAAATTCATTATTATACTCACAGCAGAATTCCCATGCTGTTTATCTTTTTTTTCATCTTTTTGGTAGCTTTGCTTCACCAGGAATTAAGTCTCTAAATGGGGGCGGCACCAGTGAAGGTTTCTTTCTAACATCTTCACGAAATTGAACGTCATGATTCATGTTTTGCATTCTGCACTGCGTCTTCATACAATATCCTTCATTATTAATAAAGAAGCACAACAAAAAAATGTATTATGAAAATGGGACCGTAGGAGAAGAGTGAGAACATTATGCGAATCAACGCAAATCCAGAGCATTATGTGATTGGAGGATTGGAGGCGTCTCTGCTGAGATTCCGCTCGGTTTGGCAGAGAGGCGATCCTGAATGCGAGGTTTGCTTATCGAATGTGAACATGTAGGAGTGTCCAAGAACCAGCAACTATCGCCGACTGTTATACTTACTCTTATGGCGATTCGGAATCGTCGAAAAGCTGAGGGTCGCGTTGAGCGATGGATCGATCGGTCGAAGGCGTTAGATCGTTGGAGGTGCACTTTTTCCCTACTCGTCCCATCTGTGTCGTTGTAGGGATTGTGCGGCTTTACGAAGAACGTCTTGCTCTTCCACTGAGTGAAACTGTTGAGATCGTAGGAGTCGTAAACGCTTTCTGAAAACAGGAATTGCTGAACGCGTGAAAGTTGGGAGGGTAGAAGTGAGTGCAACCGTCAATCAAAGCCACGGATTAGGGCTTCGGAGAAATTTTCGCCGTGAATGAGATATAACTGGGTTTCCCAAATTGCCAATTCGGCCACAAAATTCTTATTTTGACGCGCGACAGACGCTTCAGCATTTTACTTTGTTCCACCATGCAACAGGTCGCGCGCCTGGCGCTCTTTCGCGCCATTCCTCCGCGCTCCGGCGCGTCGATGTCTCTACGTCCTCCCAGTATGTCGCCCTCAACATAATCAAAGCGGTCGTATCTCCTATTTTCAGGGTTTTCTATGGCTGTTTTCGTTTTTCTTCACCAACGACCTTCTTCCCACATCTTTTCTTCTTGAGCTGAGAATAAATGACTATATAACGAATGACCGGTAAGATTGCGACAAACGCCTTCGACTGAGCACGTGTACAACTTGCTGCTTCTTGTTTTCCTGCCATGAGCAAATATATTGTCTTAAAAGCTTTAGAAATATCGCTGAAAATGTGCCTATTAGCTGAGTAGCTCACCTTTCTTTGATAAATAAAGTAGCGAAGAGTACAGTGAGGAAAATAAGCACTACATTGAGAGTTCCTCCGGCGCCAGCGACAACCTTCGCGGTTGTAACTGAAATCGAGTTTCCTGTGAGCATAATTTACATCATTCATCACCTTTACAGTAGGCGTTAGATCGAGTACTCACTTAGTAATCTTTTACAAGGAGGTGCTCGCATTGCTGTCCCACGTAGCCGGGATCGCATCTGAAATATTGAGAATATGGTATAGCTACGAGTTAGTAAGCCATGAAATGGCATCATAAAATCAGGAGCACAAAGGGTAAAGTATACGGCCACCCATTTTATTGAAATGAGCTACGAATTCTTCTCGAATCGGGAATCTTAAATACTCAGGAATGATAACCGCTTGAAGGCGAAAGTAGTGTAGTGGCAAGTGGCGCCGCTTGAAGGCGAAAGTAGTGTAGTGGCAAGTGGCGCTGCTCACCACGCGCGTTCTGAGGATTGATCCTGGGTCGTGCGTCGCCCAAGCCAACCAAGCCTTCCGGGGTGGTTTGGTGGTACCAGACTTGTCTGGGAGGATAAAAACACTGACTTGTACATCGGCTGGCCCCCGCAAGTCATTGTATAGGCCACATCGCATTCAAACGCCACTACGAATGTACAAATGGAAGTAGAATGCGTGCCGCATCCCAAAAAGGGATTGATCAACGGCAAATGCTTTATCCTTTATCCTTAATGACGGCCTGAATGGTCGAGCTACTCACAAAGTCCTTGATTTTTGATAGGGGCAAGTGTGGTACTGCGTAGCTCACCTTGGAGAGCCTGAAAGTCTGGTCAAACTTCCAATCTTTCCGAGTTACCATGTGCGATAATGGCTATGCATCGATACCGTAGTCAGCTTATCTTGGAACACCTATCTGCTAACCCCAATAAGTCGTGATTAGCCAGCAGCGCCTTAACCGCTCATTTTGGATGAACTCTGAATAGGGAGCATGTTGCTGAGGAATTGATCCATTGACCCCTTCTCGTCTTTTGTGAAGACCCTCATAGTTCCTTAGGTTTTGCTTCCATTGCTTTGTTTGAGGCGCGATAGAAATGTACTTACACACAAATTTTGTCCTGGCTCTTCAGCCCACATCGTCCATTGGCTCGTCGCCATTATGGTGCAGGGTTACAAAGTATCTCGGAGAACAGCCTAAGTATTGTCATTTTATGGAAATCTCTCCATGGAGCGATAGTCGCAAAGTGGACGTTTCCACTTGTTGGATAAAAGGAAAATTACCTTTGTGGAAACTCTCATCTTTCGAGAGTGCTCTTCTCCCGACTTGGTCCGTGCAAAGCACTCGTACAAACCACTGTGAGCTGTATCATCGAAGTTAAATATGTGTTGACTGACGCTGAAACGATCACATTTGTCTGGACTCGGGGGCCGTGAGGTAGTTTCGAGAGACAAACCTTCTCGGTGTGCGTTTTCCATGAACTTCCTCTAGTTCTCGTTCGAATTTTAGCGTCTCCTCGTCAATTCCTTCCCCGGCTGTGCATTTCAAGCGGAGTGTCTGACCCTCTTCGACGGTCACGGAAAGCGTGGAGTCGATGTGAGGCGGCTCATCTGAATTCGTAATCATTTCACTGATCCATAATCAGACACCAGAGAGCTGTAGAACATACCATGAGAGAGAACGAGCCTCGTATGACGGCGCTAAAAGGACACAACTTCTCGTAGCCTTTCTCTTTTGTAGGCGGACGGTTGAATGGATCATCTCATCCCCTACTTGAAAGCCACACAACTCTTCAAACAATCGCAGACATTCTGCTTCCGATCATTCCCACAAAGGAGATATGGCATGTGGAAATATGAGAACATCTGTATATGATAATGTGCAAGTAATTACTGGTATTTTACAAGAACAGCACTATGTGCGAGTTGAAAGTAGATTCCCGGTGTTTGTGCACACGTTTCAGCATCAGAACATGAATGGTTATTTTCTCGCCAACTCGTGCGACTCCTGATCTTCTTATGATTACTGTAACTGTATAATTTTGAATAGACTAACTGATAAGATGAGAAATGACAGCATTGATTGATTCTGATTTCATTCATCTGATTTGATAAGTAGCCACTTTCGAGCAAAAACGAAACTTTTTCCGGAGAAACGAAGTAAGCGGTCGGCAGGTTGGAGGACACCTTGTTTCAGGTGATGACCACATTGACAAAATCCACCTTTTCATCAGCCATTATGTGTTCATTGAAATAGGAAAAGCTGTGATCCTAAGAAGTTGTCAGTTATCAACAGTAACATAGGTTGGCGAGGTAACATTAATTGAGTAACTGAGCTGGAACAGCTGGACTAGTTGTTACCAGGACATAAAGTCGTTAGCAGATGTGGAGAATGAGCCTTTTTATCTGATGACTTCAGCTCCAGCTTTCCTACCCGCATTTTCACTTCGCACGAAGGTACAAAAATTGTTGACCACGGCACATGGAACTTCGTAGTTGCACTGTAAGATTTCGTAGGTGATTGCGTGAGCTGGACTAGCTGAAGCCATCAGATGAAAAAGCTCATTCTATTCCATCTGCTGATTGGGTACAGTTCTTCTGTAGCTATGCTTTACCCCTCCGTTAACTTCATCAACCTAAGCTCCAGCGTCACTTCCGCCAGACAGGACCCCTCGGGGGAAATCGACGCAATGTGAACACGAACCCCTCGTCAGCCATACTTGCTTCAACGGATTTTGAGCTTGAGTTATGAGTATAACACAACAATTTTTTTTCGAAAAAAACTTTTGCTGCTTCTTTGTGGTATACAATATTTAGATCCTGATGAGTTTAATTAAGCTTAAATCATTAGGTCTGCAAAAGGCACATGTTGAAAATAACACAACACCAAAAACTGACTAAATCGACCGAAACAGCCATACAACTGAATTAGACCATCAAAATGGAAGGCCCAAATAATTGGGCTCAATAATTAGTCTCAAGAAACGCCGGGACCACAGTACCATTGTATTATGTTGGCCATACGATGCTTGAATTGAGCTAGCGATAAAATAACTGGTATATTCTAAGCTAGCTTCAAGTACCGACTCCTCGCTTTGAAAGTGAAGTTCCTTGAGCGCAGATTAATTCGGGGTTCAGGACAACACATTACTAAGATGAGTTATGAGATTCTAATGAATTCTTAGATCTTTAAGAAAATGTGGCACCAACGGGATGGGAAAAGACATCGTTGACGTGCACATGATTCCTTCCAATAAAGTGCCGATCACAGCGCTTTCGCTGTCTTACTTCACCTCATCATTTCGAGTACGGTCAATTAGAACATATCTCTGAATTTTGTTCGGCTCTGAAGCTTTTCACTGCATCAGACAATTGGTTGAAGGGCATTATGTGTAGGACAAAGAAAAGAAGAGAGGAAGAATGTCCATGGATTCATAATACGATGAATAATGGGAAACCTTCACTGAACATTCACATTGAAGATGAATGGAGTGGACAAAGTGATGGGTAGCATTCTTGATCATTCAGTAGTTCAAGAATCTGTAATGCGAGTGGCGTGACTGACTTTTTCCAAGAAACGGGTCGAGTTAACGATTAGACGACAAAACTAGGCTCTATTGATTACCGGGACACTGGGAAACCTCAAAGTCGCGGAAAAGGTTGAGAGCTTCTAAGAAATAACTCGTTCCGCCTTCCTAAAAATAGAAACGTACCGTAGGCAATCTCGGCAGGGATTCTCACAGCTCTGTAGTTGATGGGACTTCTCCGTGTCAAAAAAGGGAAGCAGGCTTGTTTTGCATCTCACAACAGCACCATTTTCTAGTAATTACGGTGTTCAAAGGTGTCCATGGTGATGTCTTCACTCCGCAAGGGTTCTACTCCTCTTCAAAGCGATGAAGCGCTGATAATTGAGGAAACAGAGTCACTTTGATATGCAATTCTGCGCATCAAGCGGCGAAGGCTACATCCAAAACGAGGACTGTCAACAAAACTTTCCGGAAGAGAGATGGGCGAATGGCCATGTTTATCA